TCAATCAGTTAATCACAAGTCAGACCACTATAAACATGCTGAAATGTAAATATTGGATCCAAACTAGGTCTTGAAAAACTTGTTTAAGTGGAGAACAGGACTTTGAAAAGCAACTCGAGTTCAGCAGTACTCAGATAAACTTCCCCAATCCCTTGAAACCAATACTATTCTTAATACTGTAGGCATTTCACAGCCTGTGTATTCATTTCCTTCCCCACACTGGACCTACACAGATGAGCACCTCTGCAGGTTTACATAAGTCTTTCTGCAGAAGATACAGGAAACCTGACTGGTGCCACCCAACTAATGCACTTCACAATGGAAGCACAGCAAGACATTCCCTTTCTACACCTCAAGACAAGCAACAGTGCTATGGAATATCAAAAAGCTAAGGTATACCTTAGTGCCAAATTTAATAATACTGATTAGAGGCAAGAGGCCACTGAACATTAAACAGAGTTAAGACGACAAAAGCTTTTAGTTTGGCTTTGGTTTGACACAAAAATTCTTTAACTACTTGGACTAATAGCTCCTGTAACAGGTTTATTATACTTCTAACTGTCAGTTTAAGTATCAATGACTTCTCTGCAAGTTCTCACTAACCATAAACAGATGATTTAACCTTTCAGTCTAGGTGACAAACCCAGCAAAATGGGCAGCAAAGAAGTCACTCTTACTTCTACAGAAACAAAAGCAGATGAAATAGTGTTAACAGTTTATTTCCAGATCACCGAATGCTCTGAGTTTGAAAGGGTCCACAAAGATCATGAAGTCCAACTCTTACGTGAACAGCCCATACAGGGATTGAATCCGCAAGCCTGGTGTTATTTAGCACCATCCTCTAACCAACTGAGCTATTCTCAGGGTTGCCAAAGGGATATTTCCCAAAATGTAGCAAGTTCCTGGATACCCATATGCTTTGCTGACAGTATTCTAACCAAAGTGCTTATCTCCTATGGCACTGCCTTTACAATGGGTGTACGGCCATGACATGTGACACCAGTCAATGGATCAGAGTCAGCTTGTAAAGCTTAAGTCTTGTCTCCTTAAAGGATTTAACAACTGAAGCTATTGCACAGAATCTGCTTGAGCAAAGACCTTCCTTTTGACCCACTTACCAAGAAAACTATGTCTCAACAACAACAGGAGACAAACGATACCTGGAACTGGACTGAGGACTACAACATGCTGTAGGATGCTAATATGATAATTGTAATTTGTTCTACGTTTGCTTCCTGGAATTCAGAGAGAGAACTGGCTTTTAGTCCACAAATAGTAACAGGTATTCCCATGCCCTCATTCAAGAGAGTTGACTTGAACAAGCCCACCCTGAAAAGGTTTAATAACAAGAAGAGAAGAGCTAATAAAGACTTACGAGAAACAGCATGCAGGGGTATTTACACCGAGAACTTGACTTTTGGTTCACATTTTTCCTCAAGGGGTAAGGGCAATGAAATAGTTTACTGTATTCCTTTAGCAGACAGTCTAGTTGATTATGCTAGTGGTAAATGCTGCACAACCACCATATTGTGATCATCTAGATATCTTCAGATGAGATAAGTACTTTATCAAGTTCTATTTCACTAAACAAAGCACTTAGAGCACTTTACACCCAACTGCATTATTCCCAGTCTAGCTCACCCTAAGCCTTCACACACAAAGGACACCTCAGAATGGTGCAAATGCACTGCCCGATGCTGCTGATGGAAAGCAAATTCTCAAGTACCCTGTCTAAAACACGACCCACGCAAATTTGCTATTTTAGCACACCAGGGTAGCATTTTCTATCACTTATTTCTGAACAAGATATTTGACTTTCATTGCTAGGCTGCACTGTAGTGGCATACTGCCACAATGTATGCCTTATAGTGGTTGCTGCAGTGGAAAGCTTTTTGTCATCACCTTGTCCAGCTTGCCAAGAGCAGACTGTTATTTAATGCACAGACTTGGGCTCAGAAAGTCAATAGTTTGGCCAACCGTCCATCTGTGAAGTAAGGTGCCCAGACAGAAGTACTGCATAGGGTCTACCTGCAGTGCTCCTCTCAAGACTCCTTAAATGCTTGTCAAAGCACCACACATCAACACACAGCCACCCTGCACAGACACTCATGTGACAAACCTTCCCAAGTTCCAAAACACTCCTGCCTTGCTTATGCAGCAGCATACTGCTGAGCAGTCTACTCTAAACTTTAGAGTTCTCCATCAGGCTTTCTGACTTCCACCAGAACTTGATGAGTACAGCATTACAAGAAATAAAGCATGAAGTTGTTCCACTTGCTGCTTTCCAGACAACAGATATGCTTCAACTGCAGTACTAGCAGAAAGCTTGCCAATAAAAGTTTTGGGGAAACTCTGCAATATTTCACACACATATGTTTTGCAAGATATTTTTTATCAGACATCAGTTCAAGAGTCTGCCAGCAAGTTCAGTCTTTACAAAAAACCCAAAAGTGAAGCTTTGAGATTCAGACAAAGATAGAATTACAGAGTCTGTAAACACCATGACAATGGTACAAGTGTAATTGTCTCAACGCAAACTTGAATTTCAGCGTCCTCTCTGACAATGTTTCTGGCTTAGAATGATCTCCAGCTGTAACATGAGGCTGCTGTCCTTTAGCTTTCGCCAGAATTTGGCAGCAGTTAAGCCATCCATTTCTGCACACTTAACATTTTACTGCTGGTGTTACTTGAAGACACAGCTCTCCAGATAGGATACAGGTAACTCACACCATCTTCTCAGGTTTGCTCAGCTGCTACTACCAGCACTGCCAGGGGAAACTGCATATCAGCTGCTACTTTCTTATTTTCTGTGACCACAGGCAGTTGTCAAACCAGGAAGGTCAGCTGCTGACCATTGTTAGCCACACTCCAACAAGCAGCTTATGGTACTAGGCCTATCTTTCACAAATCTAATATCACAGCAATCCATGTTTGAATTCTTCCTCTATGCTAGAATCTGTCTATTAGTAACATGGTCCATGTTCTGCTGAGAAGCAGTTCATTGATACAAGTTTAGACAGTGAACATCTGCATGACTTGTACGACCTGCTCTGTAGCATTTCAGCACACAGAGACATAAAACTCAATTTTACAATTCATGGTAGCTATGAACTATGTGTACAGCAGTGCACAACTGGAAAGGGAATGATCAAAGAGACAGTCCTGTACACCGGCATGTACAGATGCAAGCAAGGAGGGTGGAGGATGCAATGTTTACATAGTAGTCAGTCTGGGAGGAAGAACAGAGGAAGGTCACACTATTGTCACAGTGTACATTTGTTCAAATCATTCTTGGTCTTCGTTACAACAGGAATCCAGAATTTTCTGCCCCAAACACCAGGTGGGCTAAGACTAACCTGTCTCAAAACCTGTTTTTCTGCTTCCCTTTCTGATGAAGAACTTCGGTTGAGTATTTCAAAAAATTGTTATTTTTTAATCACAGTAAATTTGACCTAATTCCCAAGGCCATATCATAGCCAAGTCTCTTTTGGATCATCTTCCCTGGATCCAGCCATTCCAAAAGCTCAGTCTCATGGAAAGAAACGTCATCAGGAACCTGAGGTGCAAATACTTTCCAGCAAGGTAGAATTACATCTTTCTTCTAAGTGGATTGCTAGGGTTCTGATAAGGGCAGTGCAGTGCAACACAAATCTGCAAGTTCTAGTCTGACATCACACACAGGCCAAACTTAGGCTACAAGCATGTTAGTTTATTCCTCCCGCCCCACTGACACATCCTGAAACACAGAAATAGCTACTGAACACGACAATATTTAAGCATCAGAAATAAAGAAGTATCCTCCCTAGCAGCTTTAGATTTCAGCTAATTTTGCTTTTTAAAATAAGGTTACACTAAGCTGGGGACTTAGACCTTTAAAACCAGAAAATACACACACGATTAAGTCTTATCTGGTGAATTTTAGTGACCAAGGCAGCAGCCCTCAGCTGCATCCTTCCCTGAAGAGCTCATAGTGCAGAAAATGTGCGCAGGGAGTCAAAGAAGCTTCACCTTTTATTACTGACTGTAACAACTGACCAGGTTCAATCAGTTGCAACAGAGTAAAGCTATATAAGGTAGCAGACTCAACCGCAAATTATAAAAGAAAGCCATCTATAACTATTCAGCTTTCTCAACCCAGCTTATTTTGGGCAACGTAGACCAAAAAGGTTCCCTGCCTCAAGGCCTTACCAGCCACAAGCAAGTGCTGTAGACACTGCATTTTTTGACAATTCCTCTGGGCTCTGTTTATGAAACTAAAAAAGCCAAGGAGCACGGTAATGACTTCACATAGATTTTCTCAAGTTCAAGACTACTAGCCTTTGGGGCAAGTCACTGAACACAGCCCTTCTAGCTAGGAAGGATTCTAGTATTACTAAGAAGTATTTGACAGCAGCACATGGCAAGAAACAGCCCTGTTTATTAGGCACTACAATTTTATTTCAGGTATGAAAGAAAACAGGAAGCCCTCCCCCATACACACGCACCTTATCACTTCAGCTGGTTCTTATCTAGCGCGTGTGCCCACTAGACTTATTTACACCTTCTCTATGTACTTTATAAGGCCGTTCTGGAATCCTGAACTTGACCTCCTCCTCAGGGCAGATCCACCCATATTACTCCATCTCAAAGAGTGGAGAGTTTGCTCTCCTTTATTTACCTGGAGACACACAAGCAATTGCTCACAGCACAGCGATATTTCAGTCTGAGGACAAACTGTACACAGCAGAGACGAAAGAGCACTTGTCCTTTGGTTATCTGAACCGAACTGCATCGCCTTAGCTACCAGGAGCCCGTCACAGAGTTATCAACCCCAGGCCGAGGATGAAGTGTCCACTGCTCTGCAGTGGTTCTGCCACCGCCTCCCACCGCAGTAGCCGTGACACGGCTCCTGAAGGACACGGCGGCGGGAGCCCGTCACCGCCACCCCGGCCAGCCCCAGGCAACACGAGAGCCCGACACCGCCAAGCCGGCTCCCGGGCCGGGCCGGCGCTGCTCCTCACCTTGACGCGGATCTCGTAGGTGGTGAAGCGGCCGCGGCCCACCCCCACCGTCTGCGGATTGCCCACGTCGATCTCCAGGAAGTTGCTGGGCGGCCCGTAGGCGTCGTTGAGGTTCTGGGGCTTGCTGATCAGCCGCCGGGTGTCCGCGATCGTCTCGGCCATGGCGGAGCGGGCGCCTTATCCCCTGAGCCAGAGACCGAGCCCCGAGCGCCGCTGCCTCCGCCACCCGCGCCGCCCGACCGTCCGCCCCGCGCCCAGCTGACTGCCCGGCAACGCGCACCCGCGCCGACCGCCCGCGCCCGCCCGCAAGGCACGCTGGGTAATGTAGTTCTCGGAGGCCGTCCCGCTTCCTCACGCCTGGCTCGGCCTCCAGCCTTCGGAACTACACGTCCCGGCGGGTGCCGGGGGCGCGGCGCGCTGGCCGGGAGCGCTGGTTTGTCGGGCTCTCCCGCCCCCTTGGCAGGGTGCGGGCGGCGGGGGCGGTGGAGTTCGGGGGTGGTTCGGCTCTTCCTGCACATTCTCGTACTTGGGGAATGAAAAGACTGGGTGGGAAATGCTGTAGATATGGAGGGTGTTATGCAAAAGGAATCAGCCCGCTGCAAACGTAGGCTGGTGGAGATGCCCACCGAAAGCTTTGTGTTGAAAACAAAGTCTTAAGTCACTAACACAAGCTGCAATCGAGGTGACGGTGTTGTTTGTAGTAGCCTTAAACCTTTTAAAACTTACTGCAGTTTTAACAAATGATACACATTTAATAATGATATTACCAACGGGACCAGATTTTATGTCCTTATAGCTTGCAAAGCTAAAGAGTTAATAAAGGATAGGAAAGGAAAATTGTGTTTACACAGGAAATTATTACAATTACTTGAGAGAGTAAGAAAGAGAATGAGAGAAAGGGAGGAGAGCTGACAGAACTGTCTCCTTCCAAGACATAAGATCTTTATTTCTCATTATCTGATTAAGTAGGTGGTGTGTTACGATAAAAGAAGTATTTCCAAAGTAGTGCAATGTTTACCTAGAACTTCAGTGAATTAAAATTATATCAATCTGCTATTACTTCATTTTTTTTCTATCATCTTGGAGGACTTCAGACTTTTATAATACCTGTTAAAAGTACTCATCCGATAATTAAATGCGTATATCATTTTCCTTCCATCTTTTCTTATGAAAGAGTTCTAGTGGTGTTCCTTTACTGTCCAGGTTTGAATGAGACTATGTGAAAATTAGTGATACTTTTTTCCCAAAAATCTGTGTAGGCAGTAGGTAAAATGGCAGGCTGCCCACAAATCACATCAGAGAGACACAAAGTTAACATCTGGCAAGTTTAGTTAGCTGTTGCCTGTGTTAATAAAAAGGTAATCAGGAGACAGAGATGATGCCAAAGTTCAAAAATAGTTCATCCCCATAACCAGTATACCATGGGTGATTTGCTTGGTAACTTTTCTGTGAATTTCCTTGTCATCACTCCTTCAGTGTTATTTCTCCCACTTACTAGTGCATCTTCCTTTCTTTCTATTAATAGCTGCCAACTATTCACTTTTTAATTATAAAAAGAAATGAGGCTGACAAGTTTTACAAAGCAGGAATGAAGGGGAGCTTTACCTGAGTTATACTAGTTATTAAACTGGTCATGCAGCAAGGCAAGAAAAAACTCATTAATTCTACTGAGATTACATATGCATCTGGAAAAGCTTTTGTTTGTTACACAACCTATGCTGCCACATCTGACTGCAAATGTGATAAAAAAAGAGCACTGGTGTTGTCTTAACTATAATACATTGTCTGTCTCCTGGCCAAGTCTGGCTTCATGATCTGTTCAAAGCAACAAAAAAGTATCCAGTACTGTACATTTGGGAAGTTGCTGAGTCTGTGATGGATAAAGAATTTGTTCTCATGCTGGGTAGTTACTAAGAGCGAGGCTTAAGTGAATGCTTTTCTCACAGCATACCATCTCAGCAGCCCTATTCTGTCTGCTTTTCCTATCAGGGATGACTGGTGCTAGAGAGCCTTGTGGAGGCTACAGGGAGTGACTACTTTAGTGCCCAAATGTCAACAGCATTGGTATATATAGAGGTCGCAGTAATTTGATGAGATGTCCCATCTCTGTTTTTCCCACTAAAGTCAAATACAACTCCTCTGACCTGGGAAACAAAGGGGAAGACGCCCATCTTCATGACTAGCGCCCCCTTTACATCAAGAGAAAGCATAAATGCCACACTGTCTAACGAGGCAGGGAGAAGGAATGAAGGTAGGGGTGAAGCAGAGTCCTGTGAGCTTCTTTGTTTCCTTCCAATCCTCAGAAAATGCATTTGTTTACTTTGAATCATGCTCCATGTTCATGTATTTTTGTGTGTGTGTGTGATTATGATACTAGAGCTATGCTATATGTAGTTGTTTCTTCATGCTAGAGAGGTACTTTTCTCAGCATGAAGGTGAGCATAAACTCAGAAAACAAAGTTTTAATTCTGTTTCTGACACGCACTTTGGGCCAAATTTCTAATTGAAAGAGGAAAGAGGAAAGAGGTCAGCTGTGTTTGTAGGTTCAAAGATTAGATCAGGCATTTAGAATTGGACTCAATAATCCTTCTGGGTCCCTTCCAAGTCAGCATATTCTATCATATGAATGTGACAGAATCACATTCATATGTGATTTCATATCAGTGAAAATCCTAGTGAGCTAAATTCTTTAACAATCAGGTTCTCAATGATTTGTTATTACACCTTGTTTATTAAAGTATGACACAAAGATTTTCTGGCATAACTTCAAGTGGCAAAATAGATACCAGAGTCTCACAGCATGGACCCATAGAAGCAGTATTAATGGATGATTACTTCTGGAATTTTGGGTAGTAATACTTCTCCAGTAGTTTTTTGTTTCTTTCTTTGTTTTTTTTTTTAAGAAAGTCACATTTAACAGGAAAGGAAACCAAGCCTCTCCATTATCCAGTTAGGACTCTCCAGCCTTTCTGACAAATGTCCAAGTTAGCACATTTTAGACAGCATAGGCATATTTTGTCAGAACTTGTGGGGAATGCTGACTCAGGATAAGGCAAAACCCACAAGGCATTGAACAAATTGTGAAATGCCTTGTGTGGAAAAATTACTTCCTGATCCCTGCAGTAGCTGCCAGTGCTTTGAAGCATGGTCTTTGAATGTCTGCACTGGGGTTCTGCCTGTAAGATAATAATATTTAGCTTCTAAATGTAATTTGTAATATCTACAATTATATATATATCCATATACTGTGAACTCCTATTCTGAGAGATACTGAGTAGTGCCTGTGTAGCTGAATACTGTAGTGAATTTCGAACACATTAAGCTATTTGAGCTGACTGAGATGCAAACTGTAAACGGATAGTGAAAAGGGCTATAACTCCATAATTTTGGGAGCATTTTTGTGGCTTTATTAACCTGAGGCTTTATAAGCAATGTAGACTTTTAACAGCATATTTGACTGTCTCAAAATATATTAGGTTAATATCAAGTCTACCCCCGAGTGTTTTGACATAATCCCAGGAAAATGACTTTTGATGAAAACTGCATTGATGAAAATTAGCCACAAAATCCATTTCCATAAAGTAGGCTGAATGGTCAGTTCTATATCAAAAGTGCCTTTGTGTTTGGGAATCAAAGATATTTCCCATGGTAGGAATATCTTGGAGCCCTGCAGACAGGTAAACCCAGTCCTCCTTCTACAGAAACTCAGAATGGTTCTGGCAGAGACCCAAAGACTCTTGGATACATCCATCCCCATAGGGTTCAGCACATCCAAATTTCTAAAAGCAGTGCAGTTATACCACTGGAAGACAGAGGAGACATCTGGAGTGGTTTGATTTTACCCCTCATTTTTATTCCTGTTACAGACCACTTTTGGCTATTTGGCAGAATAATAATGCAGCAGGGTTGAACATGTGCCAATTTAATTTCCGCACAGTTTTAAAGCCACATTTTTGAAGGTGGGCAAAGGCACAGGTACAAGAAATGAAGGGTACAAATGTACCACAGAATAGATCTGTACCTGTTACAGGACATAACCCATGCTAATCTACAGAAATGTATTTGAAAGTCCTGTTTGTTTAGGTTAACACCAAAACTTGTTTTTGCCAAGTGCTTACAGCCAAAGGACAGTGAGTTCCTGGGATGTGCAATCCAGTGCATGGTGGCATTTCAGTTGGCTAGTGTATAGATAGCATTGCTGAGGGTTTATTCCTTTAGGTAGAAGATGTCCAAATAGATCCAAAATTAGAAGTTTTTCTCCGCTGCCTTGCATAGCAAGGTTAAGAAAAAAACAGTGACAATTTAAATAAATCAGATGTTTTTGCTGAAGATTATACTGTCATTTTCTCCAATTATTCCTGACATTTCACCCATTCATATTGTGATCTGAGTTAATAATGGAAGAAAACTCAGCTCTTGTTGCCTTGTTTATTCTTTGTTCTCAAGGAGATAAGCTGTTTATAAAGATAACTTATTTGTTATTTAAATCACTTTTACAGAATTTGTTTGTTTCCTTGTTTGAGTTTCTAAATATATTGCAACAATTGTGTTGCATCTTTGAGATGTCTATTCAATTCACTATGATTCGTACTGGAATTCATTCCTAAATGGGCACAGGTGTTGATAGCTATAATATGCTGGAATGAGTCAAAACCAATAAATGCCCAATAGAGGAAAGATGAAAGAAAATGCACTGAAAACATCTCTTTTAGGATGTGATAAATAGGCACTTTAATTCACTACTTAATTAGGTATATAGCGCTAAAGATGTGTCTGGAGCAACTACGTATTTTAAACAGCTGAACATGTTAGAGTGTAACTTCAATCACTGCTAATATTTTCAAGATCATAAACATTATTTTTAGAATTAGCAATACTATTCAGGATATAATAAACTTTTGTTCGCAAGCTGTTCCATAGTTCCCCAAAGCAACATTTTCCAATATTTTCCTAAAAAAACCCCTTCATTTATAGTCTGTGAAAACTACTTGCTCACTTTCTGATGTTGCACAGAAATTTAATGTTAGAATGAGATATAGGAATTCTGATGTTGCAAAACCAAAAGTCAGTTTAAGCACTTCCTTAGCGCTTTACCAACAGCAGACACTTTGTAAACTATTTCTTGCACAATGCACTCTGCAAGGAACATCTCCTGAAGCCTCATCCTGACATTTGGGTGCATTTCTAATGGGAATGACAGGCCAGCCAATGAGTGAGTGTTATGGTTAATGATTCCTGAGTGCCAGTGCCCTTCCCTTGGAGTGCAGGCTTTTTCCTTTGTGCCTTTCTGTCAAAAGAACTTTGTAGTTGCAGTGGAGGTGCTTGGATAAGGCAGTCAGGTACCTACCAAAGGAGGAAGGTGGTCAGCATTCTCCTCAGGTGCTCTCAGGAATCTCATGTAGGTATTTGAACTGATACCAAAGACAAGGTTAACTGTATGCTAGGCAGACACTGAGACTAAATCAGCCTCTAAGGTTTGAATTATCTCCAGAGAAATCTGCTTTTATGTTAACATATCTTGTTGCTTTTTAAATATATGTTCATAGACATAAAAATTATACTGATAGATATAAAACTGATGCTGCTGATGTACAGATAGGTTGTAACTCTGGCCAGGGATATTTGTCCTTAATATTTTATGCTTCATGTTTTTAGAGAAAAAAACAAATAACACGAGATAGAAATTATCAACAAATGATAATTCAGTTGCCAAAATTTCCTGATGAGAGCTGTGGCACCCAATACAGGCATGGTGCAGCACAATACAAATTACAGACCCAGAGAATAGTTAGATTGGAAGGGACCTCTGGAGATCATCTAGTCCATGGCAAGGTCACCTAGATTAGGTGACACAGGAGCACGTTCAGGTGAGTTTTGAATGTGTCCAGGAAGGGAGAGCCCATGACCTTGCTGGGGAGCCTATTCCAGTGCTCCACCACCATCAGTATAAAGAAGCTCTACATTGTGTTGAGGTGGATGAGGAAGTTGTTTGGAAACTGGAGTGCATGGGTAGGGCAGTAAGGTGTTGTGTGCAGCTCCGGGTGGGTCTGGAAAGTGGATTTGTACCCAGTGGCTGAAGTGGCTGTGTAGGGAGTGTGGTCCTGGGGCAGGCAGGCAGGTGGGCTCCTCAGGGGCTCCCCCACTGCCTGCGGCACAGTTTAGAGGGAAAGGGAGGGGGAAGGAGCCAGGGACCAGCAAAGGACTTGGGGGTACTGGTTGACAGTGGCTCAATATGAGCCATCTGTGCCCAGGTGGCCAAGAGGGACACTGGCGTGCTGGCCTGGATCAGCAATAGTGTGGCCAGCAGGGCCAGGGCAGGGATTGTCTCCTTGTACTCAGCACTGGTGATGCTGCACCTCAAATCCTGTGCTCAGTTCTGGGCTTCTCACCTCAAGGACGACATTGAGGGGCTGGAGCAAGTCCAGAGAAGGGCAGTGAAGCTCGTGAAGGGTCTGGAGCACAAGTCCTGTAAGGACCAGCTGAGGGATCTGGGTTGTTTAGCCTGGAGCAAAGGAGGCTCAGGGCTGACCTTATTGCTCTCTACAGCCACGTGAAAGGAGGTTTTAGCCAGGTAAGGTTTGGCCTCTTCTCCCGTGCAACCAGTGGAAGGATGAGAAGACACAGCTTCAAGCGGTGCCAGGAGTTTAGGTTGGACATGAGGAGGAATTTCTCCACAAGAAAGGGTGATTAGACATTGCAATGTGCTGCCCAGGGAGACGGTGGAGTCACCGTCCCTGGAGGTTTTTAAGAAAGACTGGACGTGGCACTTAGTGCCATGGTCTAGTCGACACTGTGGTGTTAGGTCACAGGTTGCACTCGATGGTCTCAGAGAGTTTTTTCTAATCTAATCAATCCTGTGATTCCGTGACCCTGTGATTCAAGGCGGGAGCGGATCGCCCAGCACCGACCGTGCCCCGGCTCCCTCACAGCCCCGCGGGACTCCATTTCCCAGCGCGCCCCGCGCCCTCGCCGCCACGCCGGGAAGATGGCAGCCCTTGTGTCGCCCTTGGCTACTGCGCGCTGCCTGCTGCGGGCTCTGGGGTGCCGCGCCCGGCTGCTCCCGCCGCACAGAGGTCAGTGCCACCGCCGCGGCTCTTCGGGGCTCGCTAGGCCTGGGCAGGCGACAGCTGCCGGGGCACCGCGCAGGAAGGGCACCGAGGAGCGGCCGCAGGAGCCGGTGCGTGCCTCCCCTCCCCGTCGTGCCGCGGGTCTGTCCCCGGCGGAGGGGAGGTGGGTGGCGGTGCCAGGCGGGGCACTCGGCAGCTGCCGGGACACGCACAGGCCCCGTCGCTCTGCCATGACCTGCCTCTATCCTAGCAAGTTATCCAAGCCCCGGCCTGGTCTTGTACGCGACCCAGCCCCGGAGGGGACCCGTCTGCCGGCGTGGCACCGAGAGTCAGCCCCGGTCCCCCTGGGGACCCGCGGCTTCCCGAGTTAGTGATGCCGCTTTCCCGCTGGGAAGTAAGGCCTCGGTGCGCTGCTTGGAGCCTTGCGGCTGCACCGGGCGCTCGGTGCCAACGCCTTGGTCGGGCTCAGAGACTGTTCCCCCTCAAGGACCGTCCGGTGTTTAACGAACGACAGCTGTGCTCTGTCTTCGCAGCCTTGCTTTGAAAGTCTCTTCAGTGCAAACGTTTACGGGGTTTTGTTAACTTGAGGCTTAGGTTAGGAGCAGAGGTCTTTTTTCTTTAGTGAGAGCTCTTCGTCCTCTGCCAGTCTGGCCAAAGTGTGAGAATTCAGCTGGTGATGGGTGGGTCCTAGGACTGATAAATGTTCGCATCCACACATTATGTGGTGATTGTAAAATATTTAGACATCTTAAGAAAAATAGACAAGCACTCCAGGTAGTACAGTAGTTGCATGTGTTTTATTTGATACTGTCTAACACTTGGACTCTATGTAGGTTGTTTTTTATAACCAACATTCTAGCATCTAGAAAAAGTTGTCAGAGCAATCCAATGGCTTTAAGGCAGTTTGCCAGCTTCCGTGTTAATGGGAAGGTAGTCCTTGCATATGTTGTTTGAGGAAACCGGACTGCAGAGATGGGCTGCCGTCATGGAATTCATTTATAATCTTGGTTTTACGATCACTGGTTTACAGTATTTTCTTTGTTTTTATGATATATTTTCCTCAGTTTTGTACCTTTTCCTTAATTTAGGAAAGGCATGACAAATATTTTCTGTGTAAAGTTCCAATTTCACTGATACGCTTCTCTTGTCTTTCTCTACTCTTACCTATGGGTCAGGTTGTTAAAGAGGGTGTGCATGGAAAAAGTACAAGTAATCTTCTAGCAGAATAATGTATCAGGCATGTATGCAAAAAATAAAATTCTAGTTCCAACTCATGTTTCTCTAGAAGATCAAATACTGTATCATATGTCTCCCTGAATGAATGGCCTTGAGTGATTCATCTAAGGTCAGATTGTGAGACAAAGATGCAAATCCTTGTCCTTATGTTTTAGCTGCAAGCTGCTTCTTTTGGTTTGAGCTACTAATTTCAGCAAGTGTGAGGCTTTTATGAATTTTGCATTACATTGGCCTAACATGTTCAACTCATGCAGATAACTTAGTGTATGTATGCCCCCTTCCCTACCCCCCAATATGGTTGGTTAGATTTTGATTTTTTAAGCTTTCTGTTAAGCACTGGAAAGTAAATAATTTTTTCAGATCACCTCCTCTTACATTCTTGTCATTAATCATAGTGCAATTATTTTGAAAGGAGCATTTGTTTATTATGGGACTAGAAACATTTTTAGCTTTATACCTAGCACATGATCTCTTTCCCAAGAAGCTTACATGACAAGTCTTTGTTCTTCTGCAGGTTTATTCATGTGCTTAACATTAACATATGTGTTTAATTTATCCAAATCCTTGTACATCATGGGGCAGTTTACCTGTTTGAGACTGATTCTGCAAAACTTGCATATATATTTAATAAAAGATGAGACAAGAGGACATTATTATTGTTTACAGGTATTAGCATGAAAAAGTAATTTCTGATCTTTTGCTACCTTTGCTCCTATTTTCACACATGAAAATAACTTTTGGAGCTACAAGACCATACCATTGCCCTTCCTCCTCACTATGGTGTCATCTAAGAAGGAAAGATTTTGCATAAGTTCTGTTACCAGCTTAATCTTGAGTTTAGGAAGGTCTCTCATCAACAGGCAGATGGTGGTATCAAAGTGCCCTCTGACTTCCAAGTCGTCTTTTTCTGTCCTGGCAATTGTGTTTCATAGGCAGTTTTAACAGCTTTACACTAAGAATTTCAAAGTTTGAAGCAGTTTGGCTTCATTGTGACCCAGACTAATATTCTGAACTTCAGCTTGGATTACTGAAAACATGACAGGTTTTAAATGCTGTTTCTGTTACTTTTTTTTCCCCTCTCTCTACACAAATTTCAGGGTTCAAAGTTTCAGGTGAAAAGCTCTCAAGGCAGATTGCACTGGCAGGGCAGTAATGAAACGGATGTGATCCTTGTACCTTGCATTAGCACCAACTTAGTAGAATCTATTCCAGCTTCTGGATCATGATTGTCAGCAAAGGTGGTGCTTGGGTGATTTTTGGGGTACTTAATTTTGGTGCAGTTGTAACCTACATGAGTTTGGTTTAGATGCAGTTCTTGTACAACTGTTGGTTGGAAATATTCTTTATTTTTAAGACAAACAGCAATTGACCGTTACAGCAAAGAAGGAAGGAGAAAGTTAATTCTCTACCTCGTACCTGGTTACCCTTCTGTGCTCTCAGCCTCTTGGCTGCTGTCGGGACCAGTTTTGGCATGCCACAACTCAATTTCCATTTCAGTTTGTCTTGCATAAATAACTCTAGTGTCTGCCTCAGAAGTGACTGTTGCTTTCATAAGCTGTATCATTGAAACTCACATGCCTTTTTCTGTGTCATCTCAGACATCAGTTCTAAGTAGTAGAAACACTCAACAACGCACTGATCAGTTTTCCAATTTGCTGCTTTCTTCCAGAGCAGAAAGTTCCTGGAGTTAAGAACACTTTTTATATTTTTATGTAATTACATTATAAATTATGTAATTTATGTAATTTAGGCATTAATTATCTTTGCAGTGGTAAATGAATGTCAGTTTCCTGAATATGTCTTAAGTCCCCCACTTGAAAGAAATTTCTTTATAATTCCAGATTGGCATTTTTTAAAATAAGTTTTATTTGCCTTGTTGGGATTTCTCCCTACGATTTCTTTCTTTTTTGGGGTGTATCACGGTAGGTCTTCACTGCAGCTGTGTTTGTGATCCTTGTATGTGCAAGCAGAAAGGCAAATGCAAAGACCTAATTATACAGTATGAAATAAAGTGAGATTATACTTACATATGTATGTTTTGGGAACAGGAATTTAGGAAAAAAGTTGCAGCTTGGTGTCAAATCTAAAGAAGCAGGGAACGTCAGGTTAAATGTGGTAGCATCCAACACTGCCCACCCTGAAGGTGGGAAAGGTAGGCTGTGGAAAACCATATGTCTAGTTTTACACGGTTTTATGTAAAACTAAGTGAACAGTGAATTGATGTTGTGCTTTTCTATAGTTGTATCTAGAACAGAGGTATAGAGGACGTTTTTTCTGTCTGTGACACTTGAAGACTTCAGAAGGGAGCTAATAAAAATTGAGTTGCAGTTTCTGTAATTTTTTCTGTGTGTGACACTTGAATACTTCAGAAGGGAACTAATAAAAATTGAGTTGCAGTTTCTATAAGACAAAGATTAGATATTGAAACAGTAAGAAAGAAATGAAAACCCCTATTTTGCAACGTGGAGAAGAGGGCTGTAGGACTACAGTTAGTGCACTGAATCACAGGTGATTCCTGCAGTTGAGTGATAGATTTTGCAATCTGTTCCACAAAATGCAGGTTAGAATGGAGGGTGCACATTTTTTACTGTCTCTAAGAATATTTTCTCACTTGTATAGCTACCTTCTGTTGACTTATCTCTAAAACCCCCACATGCTCTTCAGTAGTGCCTGCCTTTTTTTTGCAGCTACAGGTGTGAATTTTTCACTTAACCAGTTACTACGTGTCTCCTGGTAGTGTACTATAGTGTACTCCCATCATATTTCAATCCCAGTGTTCAGTAATATTATTTCAGGAGAACAGTGAGTGATTTGTGCCACGACACCCTCTGTGGCGATTTGGGCATAGTCTCCACCTCTGTCACGTGTTAATGATTAGTATTTTCTCCCACTCCCAGGATGGTTAGCTGAGCACATGTAATCTGAGACAAGCCTCATGCTTCTGAGCAGTCCTACTTGTGTGCTTTGTCCATGGCCAGGAAGGTCATGAGCCACAAACCCTTTCTTACCCCTAAATCAGCGTATTTTTATTTTCTTCTATCCTGTGGTAAGCAATAGGAACTTGAGAATTTACAGGTATAAGGGGGCACACTGGATTTTTTGTGGCCGTCAACTTCAATGTTTTGCAAGGGCACAGATAGTTCAGAGGTATGGATCACAGCACTGAGGTTGACTTTTTTTGAGAGTGGAATAGTGGAAGACAAGATGAAAAAGTTTTGAGAGATTACCTGAACAACCTGGTCTAGTGGAAGGTGTCCCTGCCCATGGCAAGAGTGCTGGATCTCGGTGATACTTCAGCTCCCTTCCAGCCCAAGCCATTCTGTAATTGTGTGATATTTGCCTTTCCCCTTCCTTTCAGAGGTAGGTCAGAGGTAGGTTTTGCTGACCTGTTCCTGACAGATTTTTGTTAAACTTATTTTTAAAATTCATCCCACGTTGTTGGAAGTTTTACGGCTTCTAGACTATTAATCTATTTCACAACCTTAATTACAGTTATTAAGTAATCTGTATAAATACCATTTCCTTTCATTTTCTCAGTACTCTGTATGTATCTGGAGACAGCTATATCTTCTCTACAGGTTTTACTCACATTTTTGCAATAACAGACTTTGAACTCAACTTTATGTGATCTCTTTAGATAGGGATGAGCTAATTACTCTTAATTCAAAGAAGCAGCTCAGTTCCTCCAGGAATAAGAGAATTTGGTGCAATTATTTGCTGCAGATACAGGGACTGTCTTTTTATGGAGAAACTGTTACTTGCAGTAAGTAAATGTAATTTGATCTAATATTCTGTCTTTCTTATAACTAGTTAAAACTCCTTTTGGGCTTTTTATGGCATCTTTGTGTGTTGTGAGTCATATTTTAAAAAACAGTCCTTTAAATCACCATTTACTTTGCCATTTGGTTCATTCTTCTAATAACAAATGATGTGAAAATTGAAAAGTATCTTCCAGGTCAGACTATACCAGTGTTGAATAGAACAGGGTTTTTTTTCCCCATGTGTATTTATATTGGAGCACTTGTGTGTATTTTATTTTAGTTATTTTTTTATGATATTTTCTCACTGTCATTTTGTGATCCTTTGGATCCTTTTGGATCCTTTATTGCAGAGGTACCCTTTAGCTGATCATTCCCCATCTCCTAAGTTAGTTGTTTCCTCTAAATAACATGCTTTGTCCCTGTTGAATTGCATCCTATTTGTATTAGATTATTTGTCCAGTTTGTCAGAATTTACTTGTCTTCCAGAGTGTCTGCAGCCCTCTCCTTGTTTTCTGTTATTTGTGTTCCCAGTCCGTGTACTTTATTTTGCCATGTAGGGCATGGATGGAAATTGAGGGTTGCACCAAGATGAGATCCTGAACCCTCTATGAAACTCTACTGCAGATATGCACCTAATTTAACTGTAGTAATTATTTACTACATATCCTTTTTCCAGCCCTTTTGTACTTGCTTAAAAGTACTTTCACTTGCAACTTTCTTTCCTACTTTATAGATGGCAATGCTATGTGCAGTTAACGTTCTTTTCCTTTACCCATTAAGAAATCATGTTTTTCTTTATTATCCTTAACCTGTTAAATAACACTGGAAGCAGAGAAGACATTTAACAGCTTTCCAGTGTATGCCATTTTTTCTGAAATTACTGATTTGGCAAGCCTTCTTTGTAAATCTTGTGTGTTCTTTCCTTTCCTAGTTATGTCTTGTTTTATGTCTAGCAATTCTGACTTGGTTTTTCGTTGTTTTTTTTAGATGTCTTGTTTCTGACAGTATTCCTACCTGGTCTTGTCCCTGTCTCTTCTAGGCAGAAGATAATGCCAACAGATCAGGCTGCAGCATTGCAGGCCTTCACAGCTCTACCTTGCTTAGTGTGGTGTTTGAGTCTTTCAGTTTCCTTGCAGAACTCCTGGTTTGGTCTGTTGTTTGTTGACTTTTAAATATTTTCTGAAGTTTTACCTAAAGGATTATCTATTTAGAGATTTTTTAATTTTTAAATGGTTTAACCCAAATTTGGGGAAAAAAAAGGTAAAAACATCCCTTGCAACAGCTCATCCAAATCTTACCTGCTTTCTAGCTGGACTTCTTAGAATGTGTGCTTGTTAATAAAATAAAGGAATGTTAAAACATACTTCTAGAGTAAAGTTGGAAATTGAGTTAAAGAAAAATGAAGGGGTAACCAGTGGTTATATAGGTAAGTTGTGTATATATGTCTTTGTGTAAAGTGTTAGGAATATGTGTTGTTTATAAGGAGATGTTTTTAAAAACTTCTCTATTAATTGGCTACTTTTATTTTTACAGCCTACACATCTCAGGCAGATGAGAAGACAGGCCCTGGTACTCCTACAGATGCTCATGCCAGAGCCTTACTGGTTTGCAATGGACCTTTAGAACATTATGACTTTTTGATTAAGGAGGAAGAGCTGAAGAATGATGAGCAGCAAAGAAGAGTTGTGCAACACCTGCAGAAATTGCATGAGAGCCTTAAAGGCTACAGTATTGATTCAAAAAATGTTCTTTCAAAGGTGAGATTTATAATGATAAAAATATTTTTGCATTTATATTTGCTCATAAGAATGTGTTTAAAATGCATAAATTTCTGTCAAGAGCACAAGTCTTATTTTTGCAAATTCATCTTTCCAGATAGATCAGTCTTCATGTTTCAATCTCTCTTCTTTCCTTTTTGGTTTGTACAATCCAGTGGCATTCCAGAAGTAACCAAATTAAATATTAGTGAAATAATTCTGTAAGAAAATCTGATATGGTTTTAGTTATGTCCACTGCCTACCTTTCCAAAAATGTCATTTGGCTATAGGAGAGAGGGGCCTAAACCAGATTTTAATTCTCAAGCACTGGTATTATACCAGTGTGTTTGGATTACATAAACTGAACACTGATGTCTTGTGTTCTAACAGATATTCTACAAATAATTCCACATTGTAATATGTACCGAACATGACTTTTAAAACCGATTCTTCTCCATGTTGCTAGTTTCCAGGTGAGGTAAGGAAAGAAAGCCTATGTATAATCTGCACCCTTGTTGTGTTTTTTGGGGGCATCATAATTTCTTTTCAAAGGATTTATGAAAGTTTAGACATATCCCTGTTGCACACTGCCTTAACAATCATAGTGCTGTTAGCCTGCTGTTGCATCTCTGTAACTTTTCTGTGAAGCTCTTGATGCAATGTTTTCTAGACTCACTTTGACAGTACTTTTACATTTCTTGTTTTCATGCTGGTATTCTCAGATTACTGCTCTGGTGGCCTTGCACCTGCAAATATTGATAGCACTGGTATGGCACGTTCTCATGGGAAGCAACTAGAACTGTTGTGGGAATTCCCTCTTCAGCATTCCTTGCCTCTTGTTTTGTAGAGCTGAGTTTATATCTCAGAAAACCAAATGTAGCGCCCAGCAAAGCAGATAAGATATTTAATTCCTTGCTAAATACTGGGCAGTCATGGATGTGCACAAAAGTTGAATGCCAATGAATGCGCCTCATTTGCACCTGATTAATGTATTCCAGTCAGCACAGTTGTAAGCTGTGGTCAGAGGAAACAGCTAGAGTGGGGTGTTTGACTAAGTCTGATTATAAAAGTGTAGTGCTGGGGAAAAAGCATGGCAAAATATACACTGCTGTCTCATGTGTATTTTTCCTGGCTGCACTGGAGAGACCTCCCTGTCCCTGGGAGAAGGGAAACTATCAGCGTTTTCCCCAGCTAGACTCTGAGTGTTTTTCTTTTGATTTCTCTCCTTCTCTTGCACCACTTTTGTTTCTTTTTTCTTCAGAAGTAACTTTAACATTTATGGTCAATAAATGTCCTTTGCAGTCCTTGCTAACAAATCTCCATGTCAGTGTTTTTAAGCATTCATTACGCAACACTCCTCATCTCATGGGCATAAATCTAAATATGCTACTCTATTAGTTACCTAACCATAGCAGATTGTTCTCTTACCTGGCACAAATACTGTCTTTTGTTTGCAGGGCAAGACTAAATGATGTAGCATGAGATCAGGGGAGCCAAAGCCTCGAGGGCTCAAGTGCCTTTAAATGGCTTGTGCTGTCCTCTGGCCTTCAGGCACCAAATAATAAGTTAACCCTTCTAAGGCTCTTGTGATGGGTATTAGCTTTAAGGTGTGAGAAAGTAGAGAAGAGAACAAGTGTAACACCTGTAAATGGGGCTGTTTCAAATAGGCAAGAGTAGCAGGGTGCGGAGCATTGGGACACACACCTGCCTATCAGTCTGCTTGCAACATCCCCTGAATGCCTTAAACTTGGATGTGTAGCTGGAGAACACTTATTTGCCATGGAAATGCCATAAGTGTCCTCCTGATGGAAGGAAGCACACTAAGCACCTAGGAAAGAGCTTTTTATTAAAAAGAAACATGAATGGGAAATAATTCTATGAAGTAAAAGTCAGGCACTCTGGAAGAAAACTCAAATACGTGAAGCAAAGTCCTAAGGCAAGATTGTTCCTAAAGGGCAATAAATGTGTCTTTGGAAGTTCTGTTCTGGAAGCAGTTGACCCCATCATCCTTTTGGGTCCCTTTCAAATCAGCTTTAAACAGGGTGTTTGGCCATGTGACCCCCCTGAAATCCCTGCCAATCCAAATCAGTCAATGATTCTCACTCTGATGTGGGAATTGGAGCCACATAATGGTTTGGGCTATGTTTGTGCCTTCTCTGGCAGTTGGGTCAGGTCATCACATTACTTACCTTTTTATTTTAGGGATTTCTTTTACTTAGAATTATTAAAAATGTACAAGCAGTGTAAAAATTGTATGTTAATTTTCAAACAGTTATTCGTGTTGTGTGTGGGTGTATGCTTGTGGATTCATGTTGTCTTGATGGATTTGTGGGCTAACTCCTGAGTCTAAACCAGTCCCCTGATTCAGTCTGTGCAAGTACCAAATGAAAAATAGACACTTCCTTTTTTCAAAATGTTTATTTCTTATCTTTGGTATACAGAGCAGTGTGGCAGCATGACGGCATGGTAACTTCCTTTGTGTAAGTCTAAGGAGACCAAGCTAGATTCAGCTTGCCAAACTACTTCTTTAATTTGAATCTTAAGCTGCTGACCAGTATCTTGTGTCTTGTGAGGATCCTGAATGTGAAAAGCAGTTGGGTTAGGTGATCATCTTTGCTGTTGGTATAACAATCTTTTAACTTGCCTATCTCAGAATTGTCTTACTGTACCTGGACTGTATATGAAGTCATTCAAAAGGGAGCCAATTATCAGATTTGCTCCTTTTATTTTTTTCTTTTTTTTTTGAACATGATACCCAAAAGATAACCTGGAAATAAATCCACATAGACCGATGTCTATAGAGCAGGTATTTGTTTATTGCAGCACTGATGAGGGGGATATCTCCACCTAACTCATCCACCTTTGTTAAGTATTGCTTAGAATCACTGTGTCACTATAACATCATCATGTATGTGCTGGAATTAATTTACATAGCATGATCTCATGGTTATTCAATAGTTCTTTTGCACTGTGCTTGTGCCCCCCCACTTTGGGAGTTGTTGGGGGTCTTTGATGAAGGCTCCCAAGGTCTTCCTCACATCTGAACTTTGCAACGTTGTCTTTAGAGCACATGCAGTTATGGTGTTCCTTGGTTTGTCTGGTCTTAAACAGCCTAAATTCTTTGTTTTGTGGCTAATTGGCTTTGCACTTGCCAATTTTTCATTAGTACTGTGCTTATCTATCTCTAAAGCTATCTACCTGGCAAGTTTTTTTTTCTTTTTTTTGTCTATTCAGCATTAAGCAACTAGTTAACCATATGCTAGCCATTACATTGTATAACAAGTTATTTATATCAGGTTTATAGGTATAAAAAGCTAAGATTCAGGTTATATAGATATCTTATAATTCAAGCTATATAAGCACCTTGTAACTTTGATCTAAATTATATAGGGATCAGACATTGATGCCAGAATTTATTAACTTTCATTTTTTAGAAAAAAATGTTATGACAAAGGCATTGGCCTTACTGTCAAACCTGAGGATCAGTAGGCTAGAGCATTTTGATCTTTTCTGGCAAGATGTTTTGGACATTTGAATATTTAGTTCTAAAAGCTCTGCCCTGGAGAATAATTTTGAGAGCTGACTTGTGTTAACTGGAGTGCTCCAAATCATTGTTAGTTGTTAGAGCAGGTGTCATGGCTTTGTAGATCAAGCATTATGTGGGCTTGTTATTTTCTGATTCTTTGATTGGGAAGTGTGAATAGGGAAGAAAGCTTGTATTACAGAGAACAAATACAAATACCAACCTTATTCTGTTTAGGAAGTATGATGCTGCTGTGTCTCTATGTAACTGACCTAATTGCAGTAAAGCCAGACTGACACTTTCTTACTTAAATGCCGTTTTTTACTTGAGAATGTGTTTTTCACTACTTCCTTTAAATTATTCCACTTCTTCATTTAGCATTTCTTTAATTTTAAACCAACTCTTAAAAATTGTTATATAGTTCACTGATGGAACTAATGAGTCAGTGGGACACAGCTGAAGAACTACTTGCTATGGGGTTAAGTGTTGCAGTTTGAAGTTTTTCTTCCAGAGTTTGATATTTCTATGGAAATCTTAGGATTGGAAACCACGCTGAGCACTATAATGCCGTGCCATACATCAAAACCCCAGAAAAGCAGATCAGTGACTTTTGCATGAATCTGTCAAAGTCTGCTAGCTTGTGTAATTAAATGAAATCATGACTCAGGGAGAAGAAGTCACAACAGCTTTGTTCCTCTTTTGCTATCTTTGAAGAAGCAATTTGCCAGTTCCAACAGAGCTCTTTATGAGATAAAATGAAGCCAAACAGATGATAGTTTAAATTCTAGTGCAGGCCAGGTTTTGCTTCAGCAAAGTTGCAATCAAAATCTTAATGAAGGCTTCCCCAGAATAAGTCACAAATGTGACTAGGTAGTTGTTAAAATCATAGGCTTATCATATGTTTGCATCTGTTGAGGAGTTTCCTAAGTAAGCAAAGTACTTGGTTTTCTATTCTCGACTTCCAGTGTAGTGGTGCTGCTGCAGACTTAATTCAGTTGAAGCTAAGGTTTTTCATGTCAGGAAGAGCTGGTGCTGAGTACTGCTGTCTGGAGTTGGCCTGGGTTGAATAGGATTTGTGCAGGGTTATGGGTGGAATTCATTCATATGACCAGCAGAAGGCTTCTCCAGGAAATACTAATGATGCAGGTAAATCCTGTATTTGTGAATAGCTCATTGTCATTCTCCTCTCATGGAGGCCAGGTACTTTGTAACTTTGAACACTGTCATGTTTTTATGATAAAACCCTTGGATTTCCTTTCTGTTTTGCACTAAGTGAGTTTTAATAGAAATTAAACAAATTGATGTATTTTAAATTAATTAAAGATGTATTTTGAAAGAATGAAATACTGTATCCATTATACTTAGTATTTTTTTAGGTTGACTTCTAGCTTTTTTCAGGAGGTTTCTAGCAACTTGAATAGCCCACTTTTAGTATGAAATCTTCTGTATGGAGAAGAAATTAATCTACTGGCAGCTTTTTCAAAATAAAAAAAATAGTAGTGCTTGGCATTTCAAGTGTACTCATTTTTCTTGGCTCTGTCATTGAAGAGAATGTGGTTGAGAGGCTGCAGTGAAGGAAAAGAGGCAGTGGAAGAGGAGCCTCTCTCTACCAGCCTCTTCTGTAGTCTGATATTCCTTATTTTATTGCCTGATTTCTTCTGTGATAAAATTGCCAAAGCCTCTTCCAAAACAGCAGAAACTATTCCAGAAATAGAAACTTCTTACACTTCTGAGCTGTTACAAGAATGGTCTGCTTTGGTTTTAGCTTTGTTCTTCTTTTGTCACTTTTTCTCTAAATAGTTTTATTCACTACAAATGGCAAAAATAGGATTAGGGAGCAAATATTTATATCACATACAATAGAGGCCTTTCAGGGTTTTTTTTGGCCTCTGTGTTACCTCACAGGCCAAACCTTTCTGAAATGAGTAGTCTGGGGCACACACACACACAGACACGCCAGACACCAGCCATTTTCTTCATGATAATAAAACTATTTTGTTATGATGTAGGTTTTTTGGGGCACCAGCTTAGAATGAATCTCAGGGTAAAAAACAATTTGTCTTGCTGCCAACCAAGTAGGCTTCTGTTTTTCAAAATTACTCCTCAGATTTGAACAAGGACTTTGATCTTCAACTTGGTGAAAGTGTGGCCTTGTGTGTTGAGATATTTTGAGGTCCTCTGAATTGAAGTTCAAGGCTGTAAGAGTTTGCATAGACATTTGAGATCTCCAGCTTTTCAAAATAATACCAATTGGGACATCTTAAGAGTTGTTGAGTTGCTGTACTAATGACTTGAAATAAGCTCAACTATAAGTGAGGTCATGTTTTGAAAAGAGGTATGAACAATAGTAAACACCATTCAAGACCTTGAAAATGTCTTCAGCTACAACAGCAGCCAAAAAGGAGGCCTGAAAGAGTGGGAGAAAGAGGCAATTTTGTTAGCATTTAGAAAAAAATCTGCTCTTGGGAGACTTGTTTCTTGAATTTTGCATATTTTAATTAACCATCTCAGTATTGCCATGCATTTGCACTTAAAAGTTTTTCCAATCAGGGTATAAATACTCCCAGGAAATGAGTTGCTTGCTTCTGGTGTCTGAGCAGGGAAGAAGGTGGGAAGACATTGCATGTTACTAGTTTCCCCTTCAAACTCAAATTTTGTGCATCACTGAATATCTTTGGGTTAGTACCTTTTAAATACTAAGTTTAACATCCTTAAATCTTACCATTGATGCCAAAGAAAACATATTGTCAACAAATTTGACACTATTATGCTGAGACCCCAAATGTACCTCAGGATAATATGGAAATGAGCAAGGAGAAGTCATTAATTTAGTTAATCTTTCTACATTTCATACTTTTCTCCCTTTCCTGCCTGAAATAAAGCAGACTGTCCTTATTTTAGGGTGCCTAGAGGATTTTCTGTGTTAGACCTCCCCCCTCCTTTTTGCAGAGTGTATGTTTGCATAGAACAAAGATCAGTCTTCTGCTTTCTTTTCCCCCACCTACCATTGACTGCTTGCTGTGATTTAAATGGAATCAAGAATGTTAATGGGATTTTATTAGCAATCTAAGGGAAGTTTCCCTTTTTCTTAGACAACTTCCAGACTTCAGAAGATGCATTACAATAACTAAAACAAACAAACAAAAAATCTGTTTTATGGTCATGAAAAATAGCTTGAGACTGGTAGGATGTCTTGAGTTTTCAGTATCAAAAAATATTCTACTAATAAAGTTTTGCTTTTTTGAAATGAAATGTATATTAAGAAAAAAACAAACCAAAACAACCAAAGAATATAAAAACAAATTCTTAGAGTTGTACAGTATCTGACAGGAATGAGGAAATCATTATCCTAAAGCTGTCAATAGTGTGATGTTTAGAAGTATATGTAAAATACTTCCTACAAACTTCTTTAATTGCTGAAACAGGACAAGAAGTTTTCTGACATGAGATTTGTTTTTGGAGATGATCAGCTTCAGCAAATATCTTTGGATCTGCCACAGTATCCATCCTTTTCAGCAATCAGATATTGCTCAAAAATTGCTCTCTTCAAAGGGAAACTAATTTCATTTTTTAGATCAACTTTTAAGGAGCCCAAGCTATTATATTTGTTTTCTTTAGTCAAAACAAAAGTCCATTTTTCTGTCATATGTTATCTGGAAATAAGTATGTCTAAATAGATAAATATTAAGGTAGTTAAATGTAATGAAGAAAAGCTTTATAATGAAAATATTGGTATAAAAATGTAGGCATTATTATTTGTTCTGCTTATATAATCTTTGCAAAAACAGGTAAAGCTGTACTCTACATGTTGATTTGTTTTTCTAGCTTTGTGTCACTTCTTGTGAAACTGCAAATTACATTAATACAGCCTTCCTGTATCATAAATTGAATGTGATAGTCTTTTATATTGTTAAAATGATTGTTGGTAATCTAAAACTAAACCCAGAGAAATTATTTTGAAAATGTCTCATTTGGATTTTTGTCTGTTTCTCCTTTTCTCCTTCAACTTTGAGCATCAGTAGTTTAATTGAGCACAAGATCTTAAAAACACTGAAAAATATTCAACAATTCAATTGTCTTACAATGCTTTCAAAGTACTAGCAAGTAGTTGCAGCTTTGTCAATTAATGGAATAGTTTCCAAACATCTGAAACCCTTTCCAGCCACAGATTGATGATACAAATTTTTGATTACTCTATTAATAGAGATCTAAATTAAATCTAAAGGGGCTCTTGTGTAAGAGCCATGCTTGCATATTTTCTGAGTGAGCTGGTACTATAGAATCGAGATATTACCCTTCTACTTTTTGGTCATGCATTTTCTTTCATATTTAATTAGTGTTTTGTACAGACCCCTCTATTTCTTTAACATGGCACTGTATTTTGAAAAAGTGCTTTAGATTCAAGTTGTTTAGCAATTACCCAGCTCCAAATGAGACCACAGGGTTGCAATTTTAATTTTCCTCTGTGTTGGCTCAGCCCATAGAGCTCTGAAAGTGGAGCACTTTAAAATAAGCGAATACTCTTCTGCAGTGTTTTTTGTGGATGTCAATTCAGTTTCATGGATTTGATTGAATTTTGTTCAGATCTCCAGTTTTTTAGAAACTGTTTCGTATTTGAATTATACTTGGAAGTGGCTGTGCACAGTACTGGGGGGAAGGGAAAGAGGGCTATTTCAAATTGAAAGTCTTAGCACTACTGTAAGTTTTTCCATAAAAATATATACTTGAGTAAAATAGATATCAGATGTCATAATATATGTCCTGAATAATATTAAGAAATCTAAAATTTTTTAGCAATATTCATTCCAGGTGAAAGTGACTCACTTGAAAAAATGGTTAATAAAAAACATACTTTGAAAGTATATTTTTATATGTTTTTATATTTATACATATACAGACACATGCATATGTATATAGATACATATTTTTACTCTGATTCCATTGATTTTAATAATGTTAAACCAGAGATGATTTTGTGTTTAATATTCAAAGCTGTGAGAAATAGGATGTACAATGTTCATGGGCTTTGCAGTACTGATTTTCTAAGTCCTAATAGTTTATCTCTTTAGCAGATAGTATCTGTTCTAATAGGTATTTACTCCGTGTATCTATGAATAGTAGAATACTGCTTAACTTCATATCCTTTTTTCCTAGGACTGTTTGCTCAAATGGCTTAGTGAGGGAAAGGATTTGTTTTGATGATGGTGGATTTGGGAACACTGAATCATTTTATGTGTTCTGATAAAAAGGCACATGTGCTAGGGCTGGGGATATTTTCACAATGATCTAAAAAAGCCCCTAAACCCCAAATGCCAAGCCTTGCATGTGTGTTTTGCTTCTTATACAGAATTTGCACAATGATAACGTTTTGTCAAGGTTACACTTTGCTACCTAGTGCTACTGTTGTGCTTAAGTGTAGCCACTTTGTTACTTTATCACGGCAATGTGCTTGCTTTTATTTTACCCCATATATATATTTACTTCTCTTGACTTGCAGTTCTTTGCCAAAACCGAACCCCCAAAAGGTCTATATGTCTATGGAGATGTTGGTAAGTTTCATTTGCATCCAATGGAATTTTCTCTAAATTCATGTCTATTCACATTCTGAAGTGTCTAAAGGCTTTATGTTTATGTAGCTTTATTGTTTTAATGAATTTTACAGAATGTAACATTATGATGTTATTTAATATAATTACACTCTGAATACTGGAAGCTGTTTGATTGGACCACATTAGAATGTGTAGTTGTTTTCAGCATTACCCATTCACTAATGCAATTTAAGAATTTGGAAAGTAATTGTAGGAGAAAATGCATGTATTCTAGTTGCAACAGTTCAGCATGAAAACATACTTGCTTTCCAGATTAAATTCTAACATGTTTTATGGATGTATGAGGAGTAATTTATGCAACCTTTGGGCCATCTCTGTGTTTTGAAACAGAGAAATAAAAATGTAGTTGTTCCAAATTTTTGAACAGAAAATGTAACTGTTCCTCACAGCAGTCTGGTCTTGTACTTACCCTATGGAAAATTAGTTTCATTAGGACCAAGCTAACAAACAATCATTACTGGAATCAGTACATACTGCTCTTAAATTAACTACCTGTTGAGTGTTTTTTATTGTTCTTATTTGAAGGCACAGGAAAGACAATGGTGATGGACATGTTCTATTCTCATTTAGAAGTAGAAAGGAAAAAGAGAGTCCATTTTCATGGCTTCATGTTGGATGTACACCAGAGTAAGTGCAGACACAGGTATTGACAAGAATTTTATGAAATACAGTATCTATTAAAAAGTCCATCTCATATTCATATTAATCACTGTAATTTTATTTAAATATTTAAGCATAAAGAAAAGTAAAAAAAAATTAGGAGAAAAGTTAAAGTATTTTGTCATGGTTTATCATACCAGCATAGATACTAATTGCATATTATTTCTCAAGTATATTTTCTGAAAGAAAAATATACATACCTGGTTGTATATGTAAGTTGAGTGTATTGGTTGGAATGAAATCCTTAACTAAATGTTTTCCAGGTACCAGTTAGCTTAACTGAAATCTGAAGAAGGCAATTGCTAAAACTGAAAATGTAAAGGTTAAACTCAATCTGTATATTGAATAAGCAATAACTAAATCAAATATAAATGCCAAGGAGAATGGGAACTATTCTCGTTGACTAATTTATTAAAACTGTCAGTAATTTAGAGGAAAAATGTAATAGAAAATGGTGCATCCTAAGTTTCTGAAAATTATCTGATCAGCTGAATAAAGCACTTTGTTTTGACATGGATGCTGTTCTAGATATTTTAAAACTTGCTTCTGTTTCTAAATTCTATGACCTTATAATGCTGTCAAATTGTTAACTATTGCTGTATTTTACAAGTGTTGTGACAGCTGCATTTTTCTTTAGAAGCTTTCACTGGTATAAATAACTCGAGCCACTTTTTTAGTGCCCACTTTTCTCTCACTGCTGGGTCACTTGAGATTTTCTGTTTCCATTTTTTGTCATTTGTGCTAATCTTAACAAAGGTAGCTTCCTTCTGCAGGATCTTTTTTTTTTTCTGAATCTTTGTTTATAGTCAGATGCAATACAATCCATGAGACAGTAAATTATGGATTTAATAATCTTACCTTGTGCCATTATCATCATCTTCACATGTTGAAGTATAACTGTGTTGCTACATCTGCCTTCTTTTAGCTAAATGGATTCTAAGAATACTTTCAGAGCAGGATAAAACTGCAATTTGTATCAGTTTATAGAAGATAGAAGATACAGTAGAAGTGCATAGCATTCAAGATGTTTTTGACATTTGTTTTACATCTATCTAAACAAAATAAGAATCACAATTGTTGCGTGGCTGTGGTTGAAAAGTGTTTTACCCTCTTGAAACTAGATTGTTTGAAGCTTTCTTATTTTTCCTGGACCAATTTACTTTTTGTTTGTTAGCTAAATAATTTGTTCTTCCTGTGTTAGGAAAAGAAGTAAGAAATACTTGCGTTTTTCTGTTTTATCATCTAAGGAATACATCGCCTTAAGCAGAACTTACCAAAGAGAAAAGCAGGATTTATGGCCAAATCATATGACCCAATTGCACCTGTGGCAGAGGAAATAAGCCAAGAGGCTGCTCTCCTGTGTTTTGATGAATTTCAGGTAAGAGGTCATAGATTACTCCTTCCCTTCAAGGGAAACTTCATAAAATTACTTTTGATCTTAAAATTTGATACTTGTTACTGCTAATACAGTATTTCAGTCACTGGCCAGTAGTGACCTGTAGTTAAAGCCTAGAAGTCACTTTACAGTTTTGAAGATGGTGGGGTTTGTATGAGAGATGATATGCAAGTTAGCAGCATAAGTCCACTTACATTGCTTTTGTTTGCCAGTCTGGTCACTGATAATACAAGGAGATATTAGAGTTTGTCTAGAGGCTCATGAATACTTCAGGGCAGGGACCATCACCCGGTTCTGAGTCTGTACAGTGCCACCTGATGCTTTCTTGGCACTGATCTTTGCTTCTGTAGCACATATTATGCAACAAACACTCTCAATGTGATTAAGGATTTGAAGAAACTTCTATTGAATTAAACGTGAAAATTAAAAATAAGTGTATAAAATTATCTTTGCCCAAACTAATTTGATTATTTCATTTGTTTTACACAGCTTGTGAGTATTAAGGGCATGTCACAACCTTAAATGTAAAATTCTTTATAAAAATGTTTAATAAAAACCTAGAGATATTTGGCAGCTTTAACCAGCTGAGATTTTTTTTTAATTCAGAGAGAAAATGCAGAGCAAGACAAGAACAAGAATATGGTAGTTCTCAAATCACCAACAGTGAAATAATCTATTAACTGTAAATTGTCTGTTACAATGTTAAATTAATACATTTCTGAAATGGATGGAGCAGTTTATATCTCCTAAGTATTATTTGGCAAACCTGCATGCTTGAGGAAATAACTGTTCTATGGTTGGCTCCCATGAAGGGAATTTTGGTCAATTAACAGTTGTTTTAAGTTTCTCTTGCATTTTTCAGGCAGGGGTGATCCTTTCACCTGTGGTTTCAGAATGTGTGGGGTCATTGCAATTGCTACTGTTTGATCATTTAATTCGTGCTCAGTTCAGTGATTATGATTATGTTGGACTTCCAAAACCTGAGTGTAAAATCTAAATACAGAGATAATTGTACTTGTATACACGATAAAGAAATGGGGAGGTCTGGAGAGGGAAGTGTTAACTGTTGTGGCATTAAATGCTTAAATGGTAGAAAATGGCTATAACATGGATTAGTGTAAATACCTGCTTTTCTCTATAAGTGCTCACTGCTTTCATGTTGCAGTATTGCAGTATTTACAGTCTGTCTGTCATTTTCCCACATTTTAAAGGGAGAGACTGGGTTTTTTTGTTCCCAAGTTGATTGCCTGCTCCCCCTGCTGACTTGCTTGAGGTACACCAATGACTTCAGTTGTAAAAATCACTTGTTCTACTGAACTGTCGCAGTTGGGAAATTAACACGAGAACTATACTTTAAAATCTGTTTCCAGGATTTTGCGTTAATAAGTGAATTTTTAAAATCTACTTGATTTGGGTATTCTAATGTTCTAAATTCACACATTTCTGAATGGCTGGATTTCTTGCCTGATTTTCTGTAACGTGGAACTCTACACAGTTTTTGCATGGTTAAGAGGAGTTCCAGCTTCCTGAAATTTTGCAGAAGGCACTGAATTTGGGATAAGAAACTGTCTGCTTAAATAGTCATAAAGTAGTGCAGTGAGTGGAAGAGGAGGCCACATGCTGACACAATTAACATTAATAATAAGGAGCCACATTTAATTTGGGATGTTTGCAGATAATTTCTGCAGTGGAGATCAAGGCTTTATTCCCCTGCAGTATGAGTTTACTCATATTTAAAGAATTGCTAGATTAAAATGAAACTGGAAAGCACTGCAGGTTTAGAGCATACATTGCTCTGACTTGTGGACAAAGCAACTCTTTGTTTTGACAGATGAAAAGTGAGGTTGTTTTGGCAAAATAATTGTGTGTGGAGGCAACATCAGAAACTATTGAGGTTTGCTTTAAACACTTGAAGTTGCTTTCAGATGCCTGCTGAACAAAAAAAAGGAGAATGAGTTGACATTATTTATTTATCTTAAGAACGGGAACGTGGATGAGTGATATTTTAAACAGGGACAGCAAAACATATTGTTAATGCTAATTTTACAGAAGAAACCAAATGCAGAACTTCAGAAGACAAAAGCATTGCTGAGGTTGCATTTTCCTCATTGACAATGGGCTAAAGCAAAACAGAAGTATTCCAAAGTGAATCTTCCTGCAAAGCCCAGAGAACTATTAAGCAAGTGGAGAATTGACTAATTGATCTAGAAAAAGATTTCAGTACTTCTTTTAAAAGTAATTTTCTGTGTTCTGAAATATTGTTGTATTAAAAAAAAATAATTTAATGTTTCTTTGTGCAAATACTGTGTGATGGCCAGGACCTCAGTAATGGCACTGTGCTCCTGTGTTTGTCCATTCTGAAGCAGGATTTTGTCAGCAATTGCCTGAGCCCCAGGCTGTCAGGTTATTAAAGTATTGCTATGTCTTGCTGATCTTTGTCATGCAGTTTACTGGAAGTATTAGTCTTTTTTTAATCACAAAAGTCTTAAGCCATTCTAAATATGTCTTCATTTTTAAAGAAAAACCCTAAAATTCAGTCTTTTGTAATTATGATATCTCAGAACACAGGGGTGGCTAGCAGTGACCAAATGCACAGGTAATTAGAAGCTCTAATTTTGGCACGGAACTGTAACTTATGTTAGTATTGATAATGAAACCAGAAGGGAAGCTGAGCAATCATGCAGTGTTAGCCTTAAGGTACCAAAGGTACCATTTGGACTGCAAAAGTGAACTAACAATTTAGGGAGTTTTTACTAACCTGCATTCTATTAAAAGCCTCTAATAAAAATTAGGCTCTTATTTTTGTGCTAATACTAATTGCTGATAATACATGCTTATGTTTGTCATTCATTACGTGGAACTGTACCAATCAGTGGCTGACTGAGTGTGAGGCACTTACACATGTAAATTAACTATTAGTCTAGTGTCTTTCCTTTTTTTTTCTTTTTTCTCTTAGATGCTAATGAAATTTCTCCATTCTCTCCCCTAGCAGGCTCTCCTTATTGGTAATTTGTAGACTTTGATTTTTATTATCAGTTGCAATAAATGCTGGTTACAGTAAAAAACACGAGAAGTTACAATTCTTTAGTTACTGTCTTCTGCCTGCTTTACCTTGTAGAAATTTTTTTTCTTTCCTAAAGTGCATTAGATAAAAAGAGCTCATATTTGCCTCCTGGTCCTCAAAATGGCTCTTGCTTTTTGTCAGAACTTTCAAGAGAGTCTTTTGTTGGGTTTTTTTGTGTTACTGTTGTTTTGCTTTGTGTTTTCCTTTTTTGTAATGGAGTTCAGAATTCTGCATCAAGTAACAGTTCTCATTAATAAGAGAATGCTATTATTTTGTTTTATGTGAGCATTAATATCTTTCACTCTCTGTTTGCTAAAGGTAGCATGCTTCTTAGTACTATTAAACAAAAAGGTTTGTAACAAAATTACTTCTGTAATAGAATTTTACAACTTGGCTTTTACGTGTGCTTTGTGGTACAAGAAATTCAGTTACCCCAAGATGCACATCTAGAGTGATTCCTTGTGTGTCTTGCTTTTTTAGGAATGAGAGAAGTTCCTAAATTTTAGTATCCAGAAGAAATAAATAATCTATAAGTGAAACATAAGCAAGTGTATTAAACATATGATGCGATAGTGAATTACTGTTTTTAAAAAATATCAGATCTTAGGGAGAGGAGATAGGCAAATCTGAAGCATGTGTTACAGATTGGGTAAAAGTTTGTTTCAAAAAAAAAACCCCAAAACATTAAGGCATTCATAGAACAAAATGGAAAAAAACGTTGGGAGAAGGAAACTAGTGTTTATATATCATTCATTAAGAACATTTTTGCTTCAAAACCATCTGCCAGAAATGTAACCTAAGTCTTTTACCTAAGTCTCTAGTGTATAATTATCTTTTTTTTTCCTGCCCAGAAAAGGAATTTAGCAGTGGGAGAATGATGGGCAATGGGGAGTGTGGAGTAGAAGAAAACATTATGCTGGGTAAAATCTTTCTGCACATGTCTTGCCATCACAGCATACACATCTTGTGTGGTGAAAGCACAGCAATCTGTCAATCTCTTGTGTAATGCCACCACTGATTTATTTCCTCGGAACTGGGGTCTGTTTTGGCAAGCCAAAATGCAACAAGTGTCTTTATAATAACCACAGAGTCTGCAGGAAAATTAAGTGTAATGATCATAAAGTTGGTTTATGTATTAAGATGGTGAATTCCTGTAAAATATGAATTGCTGTTTTTTCAGAAAAACTATATATACATTTTTTACAGCATTGTTCCTGTATCCTTTTATTTCTTGGTACTGTAAAGCAAATTTGTTAAGCTAAAATTAAGATACTTAAAGAAATTTTACTTAATGGCTTTTGTTACAGTAATTTTTTTCTTCCTCCCCAGTATCACTTGTCCTACCCATTTTTATTTTTCATTCGTGTTGTGTGCCTGAAGGTTAGAAGAGGCTGACTGTGCTGGAAGTGACTGCCTGCCTTTTGATTATTCATGGACAGTAATAGAAGGCACTTAAAAAGAACAATGAAATTGCTTATTTTTGTGATGGGCCATCTGTTGAATTGTTTTTTGCAACAATCACACAATAGTATCTATGTCATATCATTCTATTTTCAACAGCAGCTGATTATGTATAGTTGGCTACTTGTCTTTATTTCTGAAGTCCCATGACCATTTTAAATTCACCTCTGCAAACCTTTGCCTCAAAGGTAATAGAAATGTAAAACAGCCGGTGTGTATCTCTTTTTATTTTCTGTTTTTTTTTTTTTCATGTTGTTCCTAATTAAGTAGGCTCTTAAATGTTTAGGTCTGTTTTCTGTGTCTCCCACCTGTAGTTTTATAATAGAAGTTAACACAGAATCATTTAGCAATTGGTAAAGAAATGGTGGAGTTCCGCAATAAAGAGTGGGCAAGTTTTGAAAGACTGTGGTACATTCACTGCTTATTAATTATCCCTTTTATTTTTTTCTCACCAAGCAATAATTAGAATCTTTTTCCATGATTTTCACTAACAAGCATTTTCCTAGCTACAAAGCCACTTGCAGATCTATTGCAGCAGAAGCTGAAAGCAAGATAAAACAAATGTGTTGTCTTCTCAGGTCACTGACATTGCTGATGCCATGATTCTGAAGCAGCTTTTTGAAAATCTCTTTCAAAATGGGGTTGTCGTTGTGGCAACATCTAACAGGCCACCAGAAGGTAAAAACAAACATTCTACCAGTATTACCCAAATCCAATGAATCTTGGTATCTTACAAAACAATTGTATTTATATCATACATTATTTAATACTAATGAACTCTATAGACTGCAAGAATCAGAGATATTCCAGCTTGTCCCCTGCTTTTTTTTTTGTTCTTAAAGATTTTTCACTTAATCTTTCCCACCTTTATCTCAAACTCCGTGTTCCTTCTTCCACCATTCTAAAAGCCTTCTGTGTTTTCTGATCTCCTTCCTCTATCCAAACCAGTGAGAGGGTGTTTGTGCACTGGGCAGTTGAGTAGGGGTAAAACATTGCCTGTTTTGAATGTGTTTAAGGATAGAAAAAGATCGGATCCTGCAAAAGAAGGGAAATGAGATCACATTCCTTCCCAGTTTGTAACTCAGAAACTTGCAGATGTGGTCCACTAGCTTGAAGGATAGCCACTTACCAAGATGCCATTCTTACAAGTTGGTTTGAGGGAATTAAGTAGAGTTGTTTCCATTTCTACCTCTTTTTTTATAATGACCAGTCACTTCTAGTGACTAGCTAAGTAGATGCTTCTACAAAGTCCCCAAATCTGTAGGTTTTAACTGAGCAGTAACTGTAATTTATTTCTAGAGGAGAAAAATGTTTGTATTGTATAACATGAGCAGTTAGCATAATGCATAAACTTTTATGACATTTCAGATTTGTCAGTTTCAAATACTGAAGAGTTACCTCAGTTATCAGCTGCAACAACCATAAATTTTCCTGCCCAAATTAATTGTGTAAAAGACAATCACTAATGATGGACAATTCTACAATGAACTTTATCTTAGCAAAAAAAAAAACCAAAAAAAACCCACCACAACCAAAAAACCCCACCCAAATGTTTTTATTAGGGGAGAAAATTATTTCTCATTGGCTTATTTTCCTTTTTTGCACAAACAAGATGAAATTGTAACTACTGTAGTTTTGTTGACTACAGATAGACTGAATGCTGGTGCTTTACTCATTTGAGAGCCATCCTTGGGTTTTTTGAAGCACTGCTCTTTAAAGTTCAGGAGAATTTTTTTATCATAACTTGAGGACTATAGCCAGTTTTTAAAATCAAGACATAATTTCGTGACCTTTATTGTTGTATGGATATTTTTCATATATATTAAGTCACTGTATCAACCTGAAATGCACCCACCTGTATTAAGTACCCCAGAGAATGTCGAGAACAGCATCTCCAGAGCTGAGCTGTGTTACAGTGCAGGTGTTGGCTGGTGCCTCTCTCTTCTTTGGTCACTATTCCTGCGTGGTCATGGTGTGTCTGACATCCAGCCCTGCAGGAAAGGGAGTTGGGTTAGTGTAATATGCCACACCAAGGATTAAGACTGAATGGAGAGGTTTGTTTCTTGTGGTTACAAAGGGGAAAAGTGGCTTTTTCATTAGAGAGCAGATGTGCCCAGCTGCTGGCCATTAGTGATACACGTACATATGTTGAACTGCTGCCTCAGGGGAATGTGAGGGGAAATACTGAGATTGTATTTGAGGAGTCCTGGCTTCATTTCTCCACCAAAATTACCGTTTATTTTTCTGATCCTCATGAAACAGAGATATGATACAAAGCTCACAGCCCTATTAGCTAGAAGAACTAATGGGAGTAGTTGTAACACTACTGTTACATGTTCACTAATTTTTGCAAGTAAATACGCAATTGATTGCTATACATTTTAACAAATGTATGACCATCCTGATCTGCTGAGTTGGGAATGAGCATGGTACATGGCTTCCTAGAACTCTGTTAGTAATTAGGGTAATGGCCTTTACTGATAATTTGTCAAAATGTTTCCGTGTATGTATCCAAATTTGTGAAAACCATTCTGTAGGTGCCCTGTTGGTGTCTCATGGATGCAGCATCTTCTGTCCACCATGAGGTGTTGGTAAAGCATAAAATCTTTAGTGTAGCTGTAGCTTCAGGCCTTATGGGAAATATAAAGGATAATCATAACCTGGCACGTGCTTTGTGTGCAATTTTGGTGATATCTCTGCCAGCTGTCTTTATTCTCTTATTCATTCCTTCTGTCAGTTATAGGTGCTAAGCTGCCTTTTTATAAGGCTTCCAAATACTAATGAAACAGAGCAGATCATCATACAGTTTTAAGTGATTGTGTTTTCAGAGAAGTCATGGTTATGAACTTGTTGGGCAGTTGGATAATTTCCAGAGAAGAAAAGTTTATGTTGTATAAATATATAGAGATAAGTAAGATGAAAAATGCTACTTTGCTGTTTTGTTAATTTGTGTTTTGTTTAATGATGCAGATCTGCATTTTGTTAACATAACATACTTTTTTTTTCTTTATTCAATTGTATTTTTAACAACTCTGCCTTAATTTACATATTAATTTAATTTTCATTTTTTTGGCCTTAGGGGTGTTCCTTTTTCTTGCTTTTGAAGAAGGGGTCTACCTGGCAGAATTGCTAGAACATAAAATGTACTGCAGTACATCAAACAAGAATGATGCTAACTTAATGAAGACAAATGGTGTATTTTTAGTTTATGTTGGGTTTTTGCCCTCTGCCAAATATTTGCATTTAGCAGTAGCATAGTTTGGCCTTACAATCTATACCAATGTATACACAGAATCACGAGTATTTTTTTATGCCCTTACTTTAAAAACAAATGCTGCTCTAATTTCTTCTGCTAGAATTAGTTATATGTCATTAGAGATCTACATAATTTTTTGCTCCCTGCTGTTTTCACACTTCCTCAGGATGTTCCTTTCTTCCTTAAAACTGTATTGAATTTTCATACAGTAAAGGAAGAGAAATGGATTTTCGCTCTCCTTTTCTGCCTTTTGTTCCCCTTCCTGTCTCTAAAAACATTGAGTTTTATTTACTAGACTAGAAGACAACTCGACGTTATTAAGACTAAGAAGCAAAATGGCACTGATTTCCTTTCTTTCAGATCTCTACAAAAATGGTCTTCAGAGGGCTAATTTTGTGCCATTCATTGCTGTACTGAAGGTAAGGAGAGCCACTTGTTCAATGCTTTTCAGTTTTGTCTGCTTTATTTATGAATTTGTAGGAGATCTGTAGAGGATTGCTTTGATAGAAGTTTCCAGATTACATATATCTGGTTTAACTATTTAGAGCAAAACAAATTGAAGGTAAGGTAAGAAGGGAGCTTTTCCTTCTGGAATTAACATGTTTTTAAAGCTAGACTTTTTTAGCATGACAAAAAGTTATCTTTTTGACTAAGGCAGCAGAAAGTGTTTGTTTGGATAAGACTTCCCTGCTGGTGCACGTAGGCTGTGTAAAACATAGCATCCTTCTAACATTTATACTGTGTAATACTTGTGGTTATCTTACATTTATAAGGCTAGAACAGCTTGCTATTACTTTGATGTAAGGAAAGTAGGGTTTGTTCTGTACTCCTCAATTACCTTGTGTCTGGATCTTTCTCGTGTGTAAATAGTTTTTTTCAATGGCTGTTTGTGAAGCTTCACATAATGTTCAACAAGCAGCAGCTCTGAAGCAAGCTTCCTTTGGTCTGCAAGTTATGTTGTGGGAGGTCAAAAACTAGAAAGCTTCATTTAAATTAAAAAACTTCCTCTGTGAATAACACATTTGGTGCTTATTTTGCTGTTAAAAAGAATATGAGCTGAAATGACACTTTTAAGTTCTAGACGAGTTGCAGATATTTTTTTATTCACAAGCTACAGTTGTATTGTTATGTTATTGAGGGCTAACATACAGCTCCTGTATCCTGCTCTGCCATGATTGATATGACATGTAAAATGGAAATAACTGTGTTTCCCTATCTCAGAAGTATTGCTAGAATAAACACATAAATAATGTTAACTATATTGGTATCTGGAATAAAAGAATTGTAAGGTGGAGTTTAGATAGGTTTGGATTTGTGATAGGAGTTTTGGAACTGCTGAATTGATGCATTGACTGGATGTTTCTGCTCAGGTGGTCAGCAGTAAAGTAGCTGACAGTGCCTTGCATTTTCAGTGAGCCCTTTTGAAATCATAAGATTGCTTAATTGCCTAAGAACCTTTGAAAATCCCATCTAATGTTGACATTTGTACAATTACTAGCTTTAAAAGTTAATATGCCATTGACATGATTATGGCACTCCTGTGCATCTCAGAATGGCTGTGTATGAAGTCAGGGAGGTTACCAGTGAGAGTGGTTCTTACCTGGATGGCTTTAGAAAAGTAAAGAACATAAAAATAAACGAACAGCCACTTCTGTTTCAGATTCTTGAAAAGGGTTTATTTTGTAACTGGCTTCATTGAATGAGAGCTGCCAATCATAGAGTATTTTCAAGCATAGAAATAGTTTCATATGCATTTGCTTTTTGAAATGCAGCAACCATGGCAAATCATTCTTTTCTATATATCTTTCTTTGTTGACTCCTAGTTTTCTCCCTCATAAACATAAGGCTCTTTGATTTCAGTGATTGTCAGGCTTTAAGAATACCTATGATATATGCTTATTTATAGTTTCCTTTTTTCTCTTTCTAGCTAGAATTAAAAAAAATCTGAAATGTAGTTTATGCATCAGAACACCTCATCAGGACTGGGAAGGTAATCAAAATTTTTTAGTAGGGAGCAGATAGAATACTGAGAGAAGCAGTAAAGGTGGGTTAGTGTAGAGAATGTAGTACTGCAAAAAGAAACAAGTAGCACAACCCACACTAGAGGCAGATGAATATTATCATAATGAATGAAAAGAGAAGCAAATGCTAACATAATTCACAAGGGCCTTTCTAAAATACTGGATTTCCTGTCATTATTCTTTTTCCCATCATCTTTGTGTTTTAACACTACTCTAAATATATGTGCCTTCAATGTCACTTTAATAAATATTACCAATGTAACATTATTCTTTCCTAAAGACATAATGACATAATGGTGAATCAGAGGAAGCTTATTCACAAAATGCTTCTCTGACCCTGGTTGGAAAGTGGAAGGATAAAGGCATGGTATTAAAATTACTGATCAAAAAATATTAAAATCTACATTTTAAATTCAATATAGCAGAAGTCAGCATTTAAAAATCACATTGGAATGTATTCTAGAGTAAGATTTTAACTATTAACCTTTACATTACAAATGTGTGGGTAGAACTACATTGATACTCTGGCTTTGGTGGTTTGAGAAATGCAGATTTAGGTCTCCCCAATGTGTGTAGAATCTGTGTGATGGCACTGGTTTGAATGGATAAAGTAGCTTCTGCCTCTGTGCATAATTCCATGACTAGGAAATGTAAATATGATTTCTTCTAATTTTCATGAAAATATGAAGGTAAATACTGCATTGGTTGCTTGCAAACATTTAATTTACTGTCTTCTCAACCTTTCCCTCACTCCAAGCCATGTGTGTCTGTGGTAATGTTGGTTTCATCTCACCTGTCCCCTGGGACTGGCTTTGACAGCTGGGACTAATTCCTGTCTTAGTTTTCTCTGGGCTCAGAGCCTCCCCGAGGGCTTTTGTTTGGGGTTTAGCAGGAGTGAATAGGTGGGTTGGTTTTGTTTGTTTTTTTCAGTAATTAACTTCCATGATCATAAATCTTAAAATAAGACTTGAGCACTAAAAGTAGTTCAAGTTCAACACAGGAATTTCAAATTCCTTTAAATGTTCTTGGGAAAGTGGAATGAATGGAGAATATTGGCAGTATATTTCTGTGAAGAGATGCTTCACTTGAAATAGGTTTCAAGCTCTTTTCATTCCTCATCAGTGGAGGACATAGTTTCTAGATACCTGTGTAACTGTAATACAAATATCTTTTCTTGTCTTCAAATGATCAAAAGTAATGGTTTCTTCCCCAGCTCTAGAGTTTCCCATGTTCATCCTTAATTTTGTTTTTATTTTCTTCAGTCTATATAATTCCAGTATGTGTGTTTGAGTTCTTATTTCTTACAAATATAACTGCACACCAGTTTCTGTGGAATAAGCAAAAGAGTGAAATAGCACTCTAGGGAAGATGCAGTTATCTTCCAAAGTTTGTCCGTATTGTCTTTCCAGGTGGTAGATTACTGGGGCAAGTGGCTGTTGTGAGAAGTTTCAACTGAAAAGTTCCAGTTTTTAGAGCCACATGAAAGCTTCAGGTCCTACAGCTGGTGGCCACATAAAAGCCCCAGGTCTGTGTTGTTGGGCAGGTCAGTAAGACCACTGGCAGCTTTTTCTGCCGTGTGTGTGTTCCCTGTTCAATTCTGATCTTATTCCATTATTCTCTTCTTTTGAAATATTAAATAGTTTGAGATGTATTTTTTCAGCGATTCTTTAATCCTGTGTAACTCAAAGTTTTTATAAACAGGGGAAAACTGTGAATTGATCAGTTCATCATTGTGGCTATGATTCTTTGGGACACAGTATTCCTTATGAAAGGGTTTAGTTTCTGCAGCAGATAAGAGTGCTTCTTCAATCCATGAAATTTTGCAAAGATAGAGCTTTACAGAGATAAGAAGTATTAGGAAGAAAAATCTTTTAATTCTATAATTTAAATTTGATTCAGTCTCTTCTGATTGAGCTTTTAATCTCACAGGATTCCTTGCTGAATGTTATAAAGTGTGTGGAATTCCTATGGTTTTTTTTTTAAAGACAGTTCTTGAGAAAAACATTAATTACTCACAGTTAGTTTGTGCAAATGCAGAGCCGAAATACTCCAAAAAATGTTACTCTCAACCTAAAAAAAAAAAAAGTTTCTAAATGTTTTAAAGCTGATTTACAGATGAAGCTGTATATCTTGGAATCATTGACCTGTTTAGATTGGAAAAGGCCTTGAACTGCTAACCTATCCCTGCCAAGTCCACCACTTGGCAGTGGCACGACAGCATGTCCCCAAGTGTCACGTCTGCATGTCTTTCCTCCGGGGATGGTGTCTCACTCACTTCCTTGGGCGGTCTGTTCCGATGCTTGACAAACCCTTTTAGTGAAGAAATTTTAATCCCAGATCCTTTTTTGCTGTGGAGCTTTCCAGCCCTTCTGTCCCCAGCCTGTAGCACTGCCTGGGGTTGGTGGGAGCCAAGTGCAGGACCTGGCACTTGGCCTTGTAGAACCTCATACAACTGGTCTTGTCGCATGGACCCTGCCTGTCTCAATCCCTCTGCAGAGCCTTCCTGCCCCTCAGCTGATCAGCATTGCACTAATCTTTCACAACTTGAAGTAAGATATTATGTGAGGCTCTTGGGGGGGAAAAAAAAAAGAGAAAGTGTGCTTTAATTTACTCTTTTGGCAGTAATTTTGACAATATTTTAATTTTTGCCAACAGTTAATGATCATGTTTACATCAACCCTTAACTGTTCTGAAATCCTAACTGTAATTCAGTGGCTAGTTCAATGTTTCATTCTTTGGAATATCAGGAAGGAAACTCCTCAAATAATTTTCTGTGTAGAGTCTGTAACTTGAGTGAGGAGTTGTTGCAATTCCAAAGGTTTCCTGGAAGTGTAGCGTGAAACTTCAAAATGTCAAGCTGTGTTGAAATACCAAGTATATAACTTCTGCGTTTTGTCAGGTTTTCTTCATGCAATAGACTTGCATTACACTAAATTTTAACTGAAAGTCAAAATGTTTTAGGGCCCTTCATAGCCTCACTTTAAAAGACCCAATTTTAGAAAAAAAATGTTTGGCTTCAGCTACCTGTATTTTGCTTTGAGTAAAGGGGAGGAATTAGCCAGAAATCTTATCAGTAGAACATGAAATTACTTTCAGCGTCTTTTTTTTCCTTCCTTTTTTTTTTCTTCTGCTATTAAGGACCAAATAATTATTTTTTTTTAGAACTGTTTGGTTAAAATTACTTTTAACTGTAAGTGAGCATTGTACACTCCTCTCAAGTAGAAAGCAATGCATTATTTATACACTGTATTGCCCTGTCTTTCTTGAAATCAGTGAATGATTATTTATTTAGAATGTTGCTGGCTGTGATTTTAATTAAAGTAAACCCTTTCCTACAAAGCAAGAAACAGAGGAATTTAAAAGCATTTTCAGTTTTCAATAGCTTAGTATGAGAAAGT